ATCTTCACTTTTTGTGCTGAAGATGACTGCTGAAATAAGTTTTTTTAAGGCTATGTACGGTCAACCCATCAATACAACTGTGAATGCTGGACAATTACGAAAGAGAGAAAAATATAAACAAGATGTAATAGAAGTGTACAGCCGTTACGTTGTAGCCATTAGGCACCTTGATTGATTTATAAGGGGGGCTCTAATTAATTGTAAATGTTTTACACCCCTGTTGACACATAAAAGGTACTACGAACAAGCAGGAAATAAACGATAACAAGGGGAGATGCACCGTCTTTTTCAGAGCTCTTCTCCTTCAATGTCTTTATTTTGATACATTAAAAAAAAATGTTTCCTCTTTAACAATAACTTGGAATAATGTAACTTTTGCAATGTTCAGTTTCCCCAAGAATACCCCCAGAACATTTATTTACCTTTAAGGGAAGAATTAACTTTACTCATTTCAAACGCACCCACTCAGATCTGTGTTAACATGTCCTTTACAACCATGCAGCACTCTTTTAACGCGTTTACCTAAACAAATTTACGTTCACCCACAACAATTTCGTTTTCCTGCTTTCGATATCTAGCTCGTCACCTCACCTAAAGAATCCCAGTTAGATTCCATTACTCAGCCAATTCTTATTTAGCCCCAAGATTTATTGCCGTTTTCGTGTCGAGGTCTCCGAGTAAAATTATGCTCATCTAAACCAAGCACTCCAATAATCTGGTTCTGTGAGCTCGTAAATCTGTGACAGACCCGTACGGTTTTCCACGCTCTTGTCCTCCTCTAGAGCTCTGATTTATGCTGAGGGTCTGGGCCAAATGCTGATTTAATTTCGTGAACAAGCGACAGATTGGTTACGAAATCCACTGCAGCAACGGCAGCAGCAGCATAGAATGCTGCAATACCGATTTTTTTTAAGAAGAAGAAGAACAAGAATCAAGCACACTAGCAACTCACTTTTGAAAAAAAACAAAAAACGAAAACAAAACAAAACAAAACAAAACCTGAACAACGACAATAAAAATAAAATAAAATGAAAGCAGCTCGGAACTAATTTCAACAGTTCTGGTCGTATTTCTATTTTCGAGTCTTATTTCACTTCCACTACAGGAACTGAAATTAGCACCTTTGTTTTTTTTTGGTTTTTGTTTTTGTTTCTTTTGTTTTCCGTCTTTTTGTCTTTTTATTGTTTTTTTTTTCTTTCCCCCCGTCTCTTTCGAGTTTTTTGTTGTTGTTGCTTGCTGTGGGTTGTTTATGCATGTCTGTAATTGGTTCACGGCTCCGCTTAAAGGGGCAAATGTTCCCACGTTGCAATTAGGCGGCTCCTGATCACCTGGAGAAGCTCTGGCCTAATCACACGCTATCTCTCTTGTCTGTTCAAGAGGCCGATCTGATATTGATCCCAAACATGCCGTGTGCTCTCTGATTTGTTTGTTTGTTGGTTGGTTTTTTGTTTGTGTTATTTGTTTCGTTTTACATTTGTTTTGGGTTGTTTTTTGGTGTTTTTTTTGGGGGGGGGGGTTTCCAGCCAACATACTACTGCTGTTGGGATCTCCAAAGAAGATAGTGTATACTCCATGTCTTCTAGCTTTGAAAAGAACTTTGTACATTTTATTTTAAAGCTTTAGAGATGAAGAGAAGTACTTTCTATCTTACTTTATCCCTCACTAATCAGACATTCTTGGACAATGCAATATCCTAATCCGTGGGCGCTCCTATTTTTATTCTTTTCACAGAAAAACGTGTATAACAACATATAATAATATATAGATCCAATCGCTGTTCCCAAACTGAACACTATTAAAAGTCGGTGTTTGGCGGGTGCTCTGCTGTGATTTTCTTCAGATTTCGTATTGAACTTTTCATCTTCCTTGTCTCTCCTCCTTCTGTTTGTGTTTGCTACTCTTTTGTAACGCTCATTATCTTCAGCACTCATATGACCTTATTGTCTCGCAATTTCTCCAAATCTTTTATCAAAACACGACTTTGTGTCCATGGGAAAGGCGCCTTGCACGAATTTCCCATTTGGCTCGGTTCTTTCTGAGATAGACGTCAAACTCGAAGGTCTGGCCTCTTAAATAACCTAATAGGGTTGATAGAGGAGTTAAACCCATGCCATTTCATCATTTATAAAAGTCAAAACAAACCAAAAAGTAACAAAGAACACGACAACTGTAATAAGTAAAGAAGTTTGAGGCGTACCCAGAACTGAAGTCTACGCGGTGAGTAATTAAGACATGTACTTGTAAGTTCTTTGCAGAATTTAGATTACAGTCACAAAGAATGTTTTACGGAGCGGGTTGTCCCAGCACGTGAGACATGTATTTGCTAGTCCTAATTTCCTGTCTTGTTGTGCGTTTTCATGAGTGCACCTTTGGGTCTAACTTATGTAATGTCTACTGCCATTGTAAACAACCAAGACAAATTTCTCCCTGCGAGATGAATAAAGATTGCCGTTGTCGTTGTCGCTGCCGTTGTCGTTGTCGTTGTCGTTGTCGTTGTCGTTGTCGTTGTCGTTGTCGTTGTCGTTGTCGTTGTCGTTGTCGCTGCCGTTGTCTTTGTCGTTGTCGTTGTCGTTGTCGTTGTCGCTG